CCTGGTTGTTAGTTGATTGCCAGATTACTTTTCGGGGGGTAATAATTCTTTCAAAAAAGAAATAACAAATTGGTCACTTAATCCACGACTGTTTATGGGACACTGCTGTGCACAATTGGCTGCTGTGTTTCGTCCTTAAAATATACAGTCAATTCACTTTACAGTATATTCTGTGAAACGCTTTGAGACGTCTCGAAGACGTGTTAAGGCGCTATATCAAATGCAAGGATTATTATTGTGTGTACACTGAGCCTTGTTTGCCTGACAATGCTGAGGTGCATCTCTATTAACGTATCATTTACATGAGATATTCGAGCAACAAAATGAGATAATTATAAAACTGACCTTTTAGGAATAATGTATTCAGCAATTGTGTGAATTGGAGCTAATTAACATGAGCAAATTGGGTCTTTGCTCACCAGGGCAAAGGACAATAATTCTAAAATCCAATAATTCCCATTTGAGACATCAGTGTTGCTGTTATACTCCTGTCAGTCTCTGTTCCTGTGTCTGTAAACCTCACCCAAACTATTGATGGTATTACTGCAACTTCTATTCCAGTGCAGCATTGGGGGGAGCACTGTAGTGATGGAGGTGCTGTCCTTCAGATGAGACGTTAAACTGAGATTCTGTCTGCCTATTCACGTGCACATTAAAGATCCACGGCACTATTTAAAAAGAGAAGCAAGTTTCTCTCTCCTGGTGTCCTGGCCAACAATTCCACCCACTAAAAATTTATCACTTGCTTCATAGCTATTTGTGTGATGTTTCTTTGTACAAATCTGCTGCCCACAAAATACAATCACTGCACTTTACAGTAAAAATCCTGTGAGCATAAGAACATAAGGAATGCTAGACGCTTTGATTCATTTGACGAGATGATCAGGCACTGTATCAAATATACACATTGTTATTGTGTGATTTTTGCAGCTTGCAGTCGATGACAAACTTTGTTTGAACCAGACCCTGACACCTGGCAGGTGGGAGAGACTTGGAGTCCTCTTAGTCCAGCTGTGTATCAACATGGCCCTGGATAGATCCCGAAAAAACCCACTGCACACTACAGTTACCACAACTCCCTCGCTCATCTCAGGGTGTTGGCTCTGGCTGGGACACAGCTCCAACATCCTGACTCCCCCCCATCCCACCCCAGCTATCCTCACGCTGGAGTCTGGACAGTGAGTGTTTTTCTGTGATGGGCGAGGTGACAGGTGGTCACCCCGGGGTGAAAGGTTGCAGACAAGTGGAACTTTCTGCAGTGCCGCTCCTGTCCAGTCCCACTCCCAGCTCCCTGGTCAGCTCGGCTCCCACAAGCACAGCGTTCCCACCAATGTGAGATTTGTGTTTAACGTTTCAGGCACGAGTACAACAACAACAACAACTTATATGTAAATGGAGGAGCGCCTTTCACATGGGGATGACGTCCCATCACGTTACAGGTTATTTTACAGGTTGAACGAGATGCTTCCTATTGGTGGGGATTTCTGCCATCTCTGTGTTAGGGGTCTATAAATGGAATCTTGTTGTTGTTGTTGTCTACCAACCTATTGCTCAGTCAGTAGCACTCCCGTCTTTGAATTAAAGGCTGTCGGTTCAAGCCCCATGTCAGGACTTTGAACTCACAATGTGGTTCAAAGTCCTATGTTGATACTCCAATGTGGTGGTGGGAACATACTGCATTTTCGGAGATCCCAACTGCCTATCCAGGTGGATGTTAAGATTCACCCTGTTTCTTGCACGATGACTTGTACTTGCAGTGATGTGCCCTGTGCTCTCTGTCACTGAATCATCATCGTGCTTGCATCTTATCACAGCATTGAAATGTCTCAAAGCGTTTCATAGGATATATTGTAAAGTGCATTTTTTGGGGTGAATGCAGAGCCAATTTGTACATAGCAACGTCTCACAAACAGCCATAAAGTGAGTGACCAATTTTATTTGGGGAATCGTTGGCCAGGACATCTTCTCTTTTTAAATAGTGCCATGGGATCTTTAATATCCACCTGAACTGGGAGACGTAACCTTGTTTTAATGTCTCATCCAAAGGATGGCATCACCAACAATGCAGTGCTTCCCATTGGACTGCACTGGTGCTTTAGCCCAAACAGTGAGCTCAAAGTCCCAACGTGGGGTTTGAACCCACAACCTTCTGACTCCGAGGCCAGAGTGCGACTGACTGAGCCAGGCTGATTGACTAATACTGTCATTTTATAGGAACACAAAAACATTTAGATGTAAATAGTAGAGAAGTTGCTTCCAGCTGACGGCTCATGTTTAAAACCGTTTCTGGGATGTTCTCCCAACATGGAAGGCGCTATACAAATGTAATTTTGTTGTTGCTGTTGCTCGTGACTGCTGCATTTACATATACCTTGCACAATACCAGCCAATTCCAACTTGCCTTTTCTTGCTAAAAGTCCGGAGCGCGTTGTTGCAAATCAATTTCGCTCACACCTCTCCCTCCATTCGAGCCCCTCCAGTCCGGTTTCCGCCCTGCCCACATCACAGAGACAGCCCTCGTCAAAGTCACAAATAACATCCTTCTTGTCTGTGACCAGGGCTCCCTCTACCTCCTTGTCCTCCTGGACCTCTCTGCTGCGTTTAACATAGCCTCTCCTCCTTCATCCACCTTAGTTGGACCTCACTCTCCTGGTTCGAGTCCTACTTAACCAACCGTCATCACTATGTGAGAATGAATGTTACAAAATTAGTTCATCCAGATTTAATATTAAATCGAGATTGATGGGATGCTTGTTGTGCTGGTTATTTTTCTTAATGGAATTTATTTATTGAAGAATATTTGCTTGGTAGATGGCTTGCTTTAATTCCCTCTGCATACAGTCATGAAAGCACCTCAATGTTCACGTCTGCAGTCGCGTTTGTGTAAGTACGCCAAATATTGTTAGAACAGAATATTTTTCCACACATCAGGAATTACATTGCGAACAACTCTGCCAGCACGCGGTTACTTTCCTTGCCCCTGCCACCCCCCACCCCCACCACCCGCCTGTGTCCTTGCCCCCTCTGCTCTTGTACAGCACCTGGAGGCTTCAACAACAACAAGAAATTACATGCAGCGCCTTTCATGTCGGGAGGATGTCCCAAGGCACTGGACAGTTAAGGGTTTGCAACCAGCTGGGGGAGTTAGAGACACAAAGGGTGGAAGGTAAGAGGTGAGGGTAGGAGTGTGAACCAAGTCACAAACAAAGAGGAAAGTCTTAAGATGGGCCTTGAAGGAGACAAGGGAGGGGGCAAGGCGAAGGGGCTCCCGGATGGTGTACCAGAGGGTGGGGGCAGAAAGCTGAAGGCCCGACCACCGATGTATGTGGATATCGGCTGTGCTTTGCTCTGTGTGCGTTTCAGCGCCTTGGGACGTCATCCCGACGTGAAAAGCTCTTTACGAATGTAATTTTGTTGTCGTTGAAAGGTCCCAGCAGTGAGCACAGCCGCACAGTCCTTCCCCGAGGAGCCGGGCTTCAGCGTCAGCTTCTTAGCTCAATGCGCTGATTGAGCACTTTGTGTCCAACGATCCTCCTCCGGGGAGAGAGACTGCTGAGACCAGCAAGGTGCCCTCTCCCCATCAGTTGCTGTACATGCGAAGGGGGTTGGGGGGAGGGTGGTGCGGGCGGGCTCTCTGTCTGCTGAAAGCCGAGTCCCAGTGGCGGGGGCACTTTCTGGTCTCAACGTGTTTTCCTTGCGTTTGGGAGAGATGAGGATTTAGTTTGTAATATTGTACAATGTGTTGTGTGCATGCAGACATGTTCAGTATATGGCACAGTGAGGCGACTGGCTGAGACATTGATAAAGCCAGAGGAATTGTAAGGTCACCATCCATCCAATTCTACAAGAACTGGGAATCAATGCTTCCAATTTCCTTGCACTGACTTCGATATTAAACACTGAACACGTTTCGACATGAAGTTCAGTCTGGCTCAGCCGGTAGCACTCTTTTGAGTCAGAAGGTTGTGGGATAAGGCGCTATATCAAATGCAAGGATTAGTATTACCAATATTATTATGTTGATCAATGTTAAGAGCGTTCGGGGGAGAGATGGTGCAGAATTGTAGATAATTCTTCCCTTCACTCTTAAGTTTGGGAGCCGGGGGATCTTTTTAATAACGCTCTGCTAAATTGAGAACGGAATCGAAGGATTCTCCACTGTTTGCGCGATCTTCAATTTGAAGACAGAACAGCCCCGCAGGCCAAGAGTAAGCGGTATTTGGGGCGAGTGCTGTTCCTTTCGACACCGCGACCATTTCGGCTGTTGGTATTTCACACTGATGCCACGGTGGGGTGGTGGGGGGGGGGGGTGGAGTGCGGGAGGTGGGTGGGGGGCAGGGTGCGGGTGGCGGAGCGGCCGGCTCGGAGGGCGGCAGCCCCCGCGGGCGGTCTGGCTGGGCCGGGCCGGGCCGGGCCCGCGCTGCGAGCTGGGAGAGGGGGAAGAGCTGCGATCGGAGCTGTGCTCTCTCGCCGTGTCCTTGAGGCCACATTACTCGCAGTAAAACAGCTCAGCTGCTGGAGTGCCGCCCCTGAGCCTGCATACTGGAAGCTGCGGTGCTGCGCATGCCCTGAACCTGTGTGTGAGAGCGGTTTGTGTGCTGTCACATGCCCTCGGAGGGACGCAGCTTAACTAATACCCAAACACAGATTAATCCTCCGCTCTAATGCGTGAGCCGTCATCTCGCGGACTGGCAGGACGGGCCAGGGTGGGAATTATGGTTTCGCATTGATAAAACGGTTTGGGGCTAATTTGGGTGAGAGATTTTATGTCAGTCGGGAAAAACGTTTATTTTTCGGTTTGATTTTCCCGTCAGTCTGTCAATTTGTTGTTGCTGCTCTGTGAGCTACAGTGTGTGGGCAGCACCGGCTGTTTACATCGATGAAGCTATTGAGCTGCGAAGGTTCAAAGTGACCTTTAGCTGTGAGTGAGTGTGTGTGTGTGTGTGTGTGTGCAAGAGACTGTCGCTCTGATGCTTCTGCTGTCTTCTCTTCCCCCGCAGTACACCGGCAGCTGAAGGTCTGGGGCAGTGCAGGTAGTTCAAGGTTCTCCCTGCCGAAGAGGAGAAAATGTCCGGCTCCTACGAAGACTCCACTGGATCAGAGGAAATCACCGACAGCTTCTGGGAGGTATCACAACTTTCTGGCCGTGCTTCAGGGCACTGGAATGTGAACGTTACAGCGTAATTTATTTTTGGGGGGATTTAAAGGAACTCTCTCGTGCCTGCACACAAGGATATAAAACCAGCGCCTTGTTGTCAAGTCCTGACTTTGTGTGGAGGCACAAGGGGTTTAAGCATGAAGGGCGCTATAATAATAATAAACCTTGCATTTGATATAGTGCCACATCACGTCTTCAAGACGTCTCAAAGCGCTTCACAGAATTTACTATGCTACGAATATACGCTAGTTGTTGTTGCTATTCTTGTTGTGTATTCTTGAGAGTGAATGTGTGTATGTGAGAGAGTGGGTGTGTGTAAATGTGAGTGTGAATGTGTGAGTGTGTATGAGTTGTATCTGTGTGTATGAGTGTGTATGTGTGAGTGAGTGTGTGAAATCATTGTCCAGCTGACGTTTTTGTGAATGCAGTTGCTGGCCGGCATTTGTGAGGCTTTTCCTGGCTAAGTGATCAGAATGACGCTATTTCGAGGTGAGGAGGGAGCACTAAGGGGTTAATCTTGCGTTTTGATGTCCTGTATGAATTGACAATGCAGTGTGGAGCTGCCGGGGGGGGGGGAGCGAGGGCTGGTGTGGAGCTGATGTAGGTTTGAGCTCAGGATCCTGTCCCCCTGCATTGCCGGCTTGGCTGCAATCAGTTGTAAAAGCAGAGACTGAAATGTTTTGCATTTACAGAGTGGGAAACCGCAGCCTATTGCAGCCTCGCGAGTGCTAAGCTGGCACTAAGCTAAGATGTGGGCTGTAATGTAGCATTGTGTAGAATCCTTCAGCACATTCCCTTAAAAATCTAACGTCTAACGAGGAATAATTCTCGGTTGCAACGAACCAGTCCAGTGGTTTCACAGAAAGCCACACGCAGGACTGTGCAGCCTTCACAGAGACTTCATTGTATAACAACAGTGATGCGCGTTTGTCCACAGAACTTCATGTAGAGGAATGTCGAGGACGCTTTACAGAGACCGAGCGGGCACCGAGCAGGAGGAGAGAGGGGAATGTAGGCATGGCCAAAGAGACGGGTGTCTAGGCATGTTATTTGGGAGATTGGTAGAGAGGAGGCGGTGACAATACGATTTATATTATGTGGAGACTTTCACATCAGGAGTACGTCTTAAAGGGAGGTGTTGATTATGCCAACGCCCTGCTTGACGACCTTACCAACCCCTACCTCCACAAGCTACAGATTATTCCGAGCTGTGCAGCTTGTGTCCTCTACTGCACCAGGCTCCGTGAACCTAATACCCCCACCCTCGCCCGACTCCACTGGCGCCCCATCCCCCAGAGGATAGAGTTCAAAATCCTTGTCCTCACCTTCAAAGCCCTCCACACGCTTGCTCTTCCCTACCTCTGTGACCTATTAACTCCATACAGACCTGTCTGCTCCCTCCACTGACTCTAGCCTGCTCCATGCCCCGATCCTACCCATCCCACAACAACAAATTACATTTACACAGCGGCTTTCACATCAGGACACCCCAAGGTGCTGGACAGTCAAGGATTTGCACCTGAGCTGGAGATTGGGATCAGGAAAGGGTAGAGGACAGGGAGAGTAGGGATAGGAGGATCACTGATGGTGCGGTCGAAGAGGGTCTTGAGACAGGCTTTGAAGAAGGCAAGGGAGGGGGCTAAGCGATGGATTCCGAAGGGTGGGGACAGAAAGGCTGATGGCCTGACCACCGAAGTGGGGTTGGCCGGGAGAGGCATGAGGAACAGCCAGAGTGAGTTTGACACTAAGGTCGGGAGGCTCCGGTACTCAGAGCCAGAGGTCAGGAGATGTTGTGGAGTTGAGGAGGATGGCTTCTGTCTTGTCCATGTTCAGCTGAAGGGTGGAGGGACAGAACACGCACCAGTTTCTGATCTGTCACTTGTCTTTCTATAACGATAAAAAATAACATCCTAAAATTACTTTGCAGTCATTGTATTACTGGGAGATGAATCATTTATCTGAAAATAACAAGAAGATTCGCAAGCGAGAGACCTGGGTTCGATTCCCGGCAAGGTGAAATGTTGGGCAAGTTTCCTTACTTCACATACCTCTCTCTGTTTACCTAGCAGTAAGTAGGAACCTGGTTGTTAGTCAATTTGTGGATTGCTTTTCCGGGGGTAATACATACTTCAAAAATAATAATAATAAATTGGTCACTTCAATCCACGACTATCTGTGGGGACACTGCTGTGCGCAATTCGCTGCCGTGTTTCACCCACAAAACATACAGTCAATTCACTTTAGGTATATTCTGTGAAGCACTTTGAGATACCTCGAAGTCATGATAAGACTCCGTATCAAATGCAAGGATTATTATTAGGATTCAACTGAAAAACAAACTAGCCATTAACATTCTCAAGCCAAGCATCCGCTAACTGCCAACCACAGAAATGCTAGCCTGATGGATCAGACTGTGGAGCCCGATGTGAATAGGGACATTTGGGTGGTCGAGCAGCTAACTTCCTAATCAGTCATTGAAGTTGGTATCTGATCTGTCAAAATAAACTGATGCATTGTCCAAAGTCATCTCTGTAGGACATGCGTAAATGGGATGTGTATTCCAGGCTGAGAGATTGACTAACTGAGGTGTACCAGGTTTACACACAGGCTTTATAATGGAAATCCCAAATATGTTTCATTCTGTTTGTTGAGCAGTTGATCGATTACTCGGGCAGAGAGAGAGAGAATCACAGAGTTCTTGAGGGATTTCGTAAATAGGATTTGTTTTATTTTTTAATGAAATCTCTGACATTCTTGGGTTCTAGTGCAAATGGCATCACATGTCCCTGGGCTCATTCCACTCCATTTTTGCCATGAGATCTGTCATTATTTGTCGATATTATCTTCGAAGAAGCCCAATATAATGGGGTTGTCTCTCGGGAAGATTGCCCTGCTCTACCGTCCATTGTGTAGCTTTAGCTTTGTTCCTGAGCTGCTTGTCAGCCCAGCCATGGGAAGCAGTGAGTGTATATGTCCTTCACCACCGCCTGAGACATTCACAGCGCATTTTAAGATGAGTTTTGAAGTTTTCCAGCATACATTCTCTTATGCAGGACATCTGCAGAGAATGCAAATTGTTATAAAATTCCACTTGGGTCTGGATTTACAACAACGTGCATTTACACAGCGCCCTTCACGCAGGACAGCACCTCGGAGCGCTGCACAGTGCCGCAGTTGGACGGCAAGCAAGGGAGAAGGGGGAGGGGGAGATGACCAAACAAGGGGATTGAAGATGTAGGTGTTAAGGTGGGTTTCAAAGACAGATAAAGAGAGGGAGAGGTGGAACAATTAAGGCAGGGAGTTCGAGAGGTTAGTGGTGCAGTGGCTAAAGGCACGGTCAACGATTGCGGTGAGTAGTGATCAGGGGGCATGCAGCAGGCCTGGGCAAACGGGGCATCAGGGCGATGGGCATGAGCAGGTCAGAGAGACAGGATGCTGGGGTGTGCAGGGACCTGTGGGTGAGGAGCTTGAAATCGATCCTTTCAGGGTGAGGGAGCCGGGAGGCTGGTGAGGACTGGTGATTTACTCTATTAATGTAGAGTTACAGAGCATCCAGAACGTGGCAAATTCTTGAATTCAGTCTTAACTTTGAAGCTGGTTTTCTGTCGTCTCTTACAACTTTTCACGTCAGTGACTGACTTCGAAATTAAAGCTGTGTTTAAAGAGTTGCCAAATTTAGGACAAATGTAGGACAAATTTAGGACGCACTGCTAAATGGAGTGAATCCAGACTTGGTGGGCTTGTAACCCTTGTATTGTGAATGTGCTATTGGAGTGAAGGGGCCTAATGAGGCCAGGGTCCAGTCACTGACATTCACAATGGAGAAAACAATCGTTCTGAATTTATATTTGCTGTGTTTTATGCTGTGTTGTGAGCAGGTCATTGTGATCCTCGCTGCATTGTTTGAAGGTTTGATCTGAAATCGTGCTTTGTGCCTGGGTTCAAAATACAAGCGTTTTCAAAATCTGAACCAAAGCTGCCAACAACAACAACAAGATTACATTTGTATCGCGCCTTTCCCGTCGGGAGGATGTCCCAAAGCCTGGACAATGTATAGCTGGGGTCAGGGGGGGAGAAGGGAGGCGAGGGGAAGGGGGTGGCCAAAGGCGGGAATTGCGGGTGACCGGAGATTTTATTATAAAGAGCAGAAATGGGATTAAGTTGTAGATCGGACGTGATCTAAACAACAACAATAATTTGCAGTTAAGGTCTCGGAGCGCTAAGATGCTGGAGCGGGCATGTCATATGTCCACACTTTTCCCAGAGAAGGTTTTACAAGAACAATAACAACAACAAAATTACGTGTTTAGCGTCTTTCGCGTCAGGAGAACGTCCCAAGGTGCTGGACATACAGAGTTTCGGATCCGAGCTGGGGGTCGGGATCGGGGAGGGTGGGAGGCAGGGGGGGAAGCAGGATGATCGAAAGCACGGTTGAAGAGGAGGGTCTTGAGATGGGTCTTGAAGGAACCAAAGGATGGGATGAGGTGGAGGGACTGCGGGATGAAGTTCCAGAGGGTGGGAGCAGAGTAGCAGAAGGCCCGCCTGCCACTAGTGGTATTTGAGATGAGGATGGACGAGGCGTGACAGGGTGGACGAAGGAGCTGGTTCTTGATGGAGAAGCGGAGCCTGGGTTGTCCTTAGCCTCCAAGATTGTCTTGGGAGTAGAATGATGATTTAGCGGAGGCGAGTTTTAGAGAGCAAATAGAGAGAGGAACGCTAGGTTTTCACGCTAGGTCTAGCACAGTGTTACTCACCCTAGCTGAGATATTGCGTTTGATGCTCGGTCAATTATACAGTCAATATACAGTCAATTCACTCTACAGTATATTTTGTGAAGCGCTTTGAGATGTTTTGCAGATGTGATAAGACGCTATATCAAATGCAAGGATTATTATTATTATCCTCTCGTCCATACAATTTGGTTTCATACAGTAAATGTTTACTTTCATGATCCAAACAGCTAGTTTTG